TCTTATCAGATCACCACGGATTAAAGTTAGAATTCAACAACAATCCTACCTCCAGAAAGCCGACAAACTCATAGAAACTGAACAGTCAACTACTGAACCACTCCTGGGTTAAGGAAGAAATCAAGAAAGAAATTAAAGTCTTCCTGGAATTCAATGAAAATAGAGAAACAACATACTCGAACTTATGGGACACTATGAAAGCAGTGCTAAGAGGAAAGTTCATAGCACTAAGTGCCCACTTAAAGAAAACAGAGAAAGCATACATCGGAGACTTAACAGCACACCTGAAAGCTTTTGAAAAAAAAGAAGCAGACACGCCCAGGAGGAGCAGAAGACTGGAAATAATCAAACTGAGGGCTGAAATCAACAAAATAGAAATGCAGAAAACAGTCCAAAGAATCAATGAAACAAAAAGTTGGTTCTTGGAGAAAATCAACAAGATCGACAAACCCCTATTCAAACTAATTAAACGACAGAGAGAGAACACGCAAATAAATAAGATCAGAAATGAAAAGGGGGACATAACCACAGATACAGAGGAAATTCAGAGACTCATTAGATCTTACTACAAAAGCCTGTATGCCGCAAAACTAGAAAATGCAAAAGAAATGGACATGTTTTTAGATAAGTGCCACATACCAAAGCTAAACCAAAACCAGGTGAACGATCTAAATAGACCTGTTAGTCGCGAAGAACTAGAAACCGTTATCAAAAATCTCCCTTCGAAAAAAAGCCCAGGACCAGATGGTTTCAATGCAGAATTCTACCAGAACTTCCAAGAAGACCTAATACCTATACTCCTTAATGTATTTCACAATATAGAAACAGAAGAGTCATTGCCAAATTCCTTTTATGAAGCTACAGTTACCCTGATACCAAAACCACACAAAGACCCAACCAAGAAAGAAAATTACAGGCCTATCTCACTCATGAATATCAACGCAAAAATTCTCAATAAAATACTGGCAAACCGAATCCAAGAACACATTAGAAAAATTATCCATTATGATCAAGTAGGCTTCATCCCAGAGATGCAGGGCTGGTTCAACATACGCAAATCTATCAATGTAATCCAGCATATAAATCAACTGAAAGAAAAAAACCATATGATCATTTCATTAGATGCTGAAAAAGCATTTGACAAAATTCAACACCCCTTTATGATAAAAGTCTTGGAGCGATTAGGGATACAAGGGTCATACCTAAATATAATAAAAGCTATTTACAGCAAGCCGTCAGCTAACATTAAATTAAATGGAGAAAAACTCAAAGCCATCCCACTAAAATCAGGAACACGACAAGGATGTCCACTCTCTCCATACCTCTTCAATATAGTGCTTGAAGTTCTAGCAATAGCAATAAGACAACATAAAGGGATCAAGGGGATTCATATCAGAAAAGAAGATGTTAAGCTCTCGTTATTTGCAGATGATATGATAGTATACATAAGCGACCCCAAAAACTCTACCAAAGAACTCTTACAGCTGATAAACACCTTTAGTAATGTGGCAGGATACAAGATCAACTCCAAAAAATCAGTGGCCTTCCTATACACTAAGGATAAAGAAACAGAGAGGGAAATTAGAGAAGCATCACCTTTCACGATAGCCACAAATAGCATAAAATATCTTGGGGTAACTCTGACCAAGGATGTGAAAGATCTATTTGACAAGAACTTTAAGTCTTTGAAGAAAGAAATTGAAGAGGACACCAGAAAATGGAAAGATCTTCCTTGCTCCTGGATTGGGAGGATCAACATAGTAAAAATGGCAATTCTACCAAAAGCAATCTATAGATTCAATGCAATCCCCATCAAAATCCCATCAAAATTCTTCACAGATCTGGAGAAGACACTAATCAACTTTATATGGAAAAACAAAAAACCCAGGATAGCCAAAACAATCTTATACAACAAAGGAGCGTCTGGAGGCATTACCATCCCTGACTTCAAACTCTACTACAGAGCTACAGTATTGAAAACATCTTGGTATTGGCATAAAAACAGAGAAGTCGACCAATGGAATCAAATAGAAGACCCTGACATTAACCCACAAACCTATGAACACCTGATTTTCGATAAAGGAGCTAAAAGTATACAATGGAAAAAAGAGAGCATCTTCAACAAATTGTGCTGGCAAAACTGGATGTCAACCTGTAGAAGAATGAAAATAGATCCATATCTATCACCATGCACAAAACTCAAGTCCAAATGGATTAAAGACCTCAATATCAGTCTGAACACACTGAACCTGATAGAAGAGAAAGTGGGAAGTACTCTACAACACATGGGCACAGGAGACCACTTCTTACATAGAACCCCAGCAGCACAGACATTAAGGACCTCATTGAATAAATGGGACCTCCTGAGACTGAGAAGCTTCTGTAAAGCAAAGGACACTGTCGCTAAGACACAAAGGCAACCCACTAACTGGGAGAAGATCTTCACCAACCACGCAACTGACAAAGGTCTGATCTCCAAAATATATAAAGAACTCAAGAAACTAGACCGTAAAAGGCTAACCAACCCAATTATAAAATGGGGCATTGAGCTGAACAGAGAATTCTCAACAGAAGAAGTTCAAATGGCCAAAAGACACTTAAGGTCATGCTCAACTTCCTTAGCGATCAGGGAAATGCAAATCAAGACAACTTTAAGATACCATCTTACACCTGTCAGAATGGCGAAAATCAAAAACACCAATGATAGCCTTTGTTGGAGAGGTTGTGGAGAAAGGGGTACACTCATCCATTGCTGGTGGGAATGCAAACTTGTGCAACCACTATGGAAAGCAGTATGACGGTTTCTCAGGAAATTCGGGATCAACTTACCCCTGGACCCCGCAATACCACTCTTGGGAATATACCCAAGAGAGGCCTTATCATACAACAAAAGTGTATGCTCTACTATGTTCATAGCAGCATTGTTTGTGATAGCCAGAACCTGGAAACAACCTAGATGCCCTTCAATGGAAGAATGGATGAAGAAAGTATGGAATATATACATATTAGAGTATTACTCAGCAGCAAGAAACAAGGACTTCTTGAATTTTGCATACAAATGGATGGAAATAGAAAACACTATTCTGAGTGAGGTAAGCCAGACACAAAAAGAGGAACATGGGATGTACTCACTCATATTTGGTTTCTAGCCATAAACCAAGGACATTGAGCCTATAATTAGTGATCCTAGAGAAGCTAAATAAGGAGAACCCAAAGAAAAACATATAGGCATCCTCCTGAATATTAACCTTCAGCAAGCGATGAAAGGAGACAGAGACAGAGACCCACATTGGAGCACAGGACTGAATTCTCAAGGTCCAAATCAGGAGCAGAAGGAGAGAGAGCACGAGCAAGGAACTCAGGTCCGTGAGGGGTGCACCCACACACTGAGACAATGGGGATGTTCTACTGGGAACTCACCAAGACCCGCTGGCCTGGGTCTGGAAAAGCCTGGGATAAAACCGGACTCTCTGAACATAGCGGACAATGAGGACTACTGAGAACTCAAGAACAATGGCAATGGGTTTCTGATCCTACTGCACGTACTGGCTTTGTGGGAGCCTAGGCAGTTTGGATGCTCAACTTACTAGACCTGGATGGAGGTGGGGGGTTCCTTGGACTTCCCACAGGACAGGGAACCCTGATTGCTTTTCGGGCTGGGGGGGGGACTTAATTGGGGGAGGGGGAGGGAAATGGGAGGTGGTGGCTGGGAAGAGACAGAAATCTTTAATAAACAAATAAATTAAAAAAAATAATAATAATAAAAAAAGAAAAGCCTATTATCATGATACAGAAAAAAAAAAGAAAATGTGGTACATTTAACACAGAGGTAAAAAACAATGACATCTTGAAAGTTGCAGGCAAATGGATGGAACTAGGAAAAAAAACATCTTGAATGAAATCCCCAAGAGCCAGAAAGACAAAATAGTATGGATACCACAGTACTATAATTAAATGAGTGCATGAGATGGAGAGATTCAGTGGAAAGTTGGGTGTCTTAGCTTCTGTGGACCATGGGTGGCACCCACACCCACATGAAAGCAGAGGAGAATTTGTCTGAGTTTTGTTCTCTCCTTCACCATGTGAATCCCAGGGAAGGAACTCAGGCCTGTAGGCTGTCAGCCGATATCTATAGTCTCTGAGACATCTCTCTGGTGGATCACGTTATCCATGGACTTGAATGAGCTATATATCTATATTGGTGTTCTGAATACATATGTCCTTCATTCATCTAGAGTGGATTCACTCCCCCTGGTTTGACAGCACCATTTGTGGACCCACAAGATTACTTCCTCCACACATTAACTGTGACTCAGTGTCAGTCTCAGATGTCAGATCCGTTTCTGGGGAGCTGCACAAGAATAAAGCAGTCATCTGGAAGAAACCCTTCCTCAGTATGCAGTGAGATCTGCTGTGATCATCCACAGCAGCGTCATGCATCCCTCTCCCTTCTTAGCCTTGCACATTTGTGCTCTCAGGCAGAGGCAAGTGGCTTTTGCTGCAGGCTCCATCCACTCTGGCTAATTTGAAGCTTCCTTCCAACACTTAGTTGGAGCATCAAGAGAGACTCCTTAACCATACCACTGCCACCAGGAAGGTCTTCTCAATTCTGCATTTCATCAGATGTCCCTAATCTGCACTGTCATTCCAGGACAAGATGTGAGAGATCTGCTCCAGCCATGACAACAAGTGTTGCTGGAGCTCCAGCCACGACAACAAGTGATGCTGGAGCTCCAGCCACGACAACAAGTGATGCTGGAGCTCCAGCCATGACAACAAGTGATGCTGGAGCAGGGTCTTGAACCTGTGAAAGCCTTGCATGAATGTCTGGCATCCTAAGACAATTCGCATTCCTACATCTTGAATTTGTCCCTCTGGTCTCCTTAAACTTCTCTTATTGCTTGAGGGTAATTCAATCTAACTAATATGATGGATATAAGTCAATTGTAGGGGCTGGAAAGATGGTGCCATAATTTTCAGTATTTCTTTCTGTCCCAAAGGAACAACAGTGCAGATAAAAAGCCTCCAAGTTCTGGTGGAATCTGATGCTCTCTTCTGGCCTCTTGTGGAATTGAATGCATGTGATATACAGCCCTTCAGCAGGTAAAACATACATACATATATATCTACTAAATAATCTTAAAAATTAAACCAAAGCATAGTTAATGCACAGCACCAAAACAGAAAAACATGGCCAACATATCTTAGAAGTCATTCTGTCTGCTGTGTGGTTATCCCTGATGCTGTATTTCAAGGAAACCAGAGACAGATACTTCCAGTTATTGTAATTTCTTTTTAAAAATATTTTATTAATTCTCTGTTGGTTTCACATTATGCATCTCAATCCCACTCTTCCCCCTACTCATTCCCTGACATCTGTGCTCTGCTCTTGCTACCTCCCCACCAAACAGAACAAAGTTTGAAAGAAAAACCCAAAACTCAAAATCAAAAACAAACACACAAAATCTTGGTGAGGACTCTGCAGTGTGGCCCAGTGAGTCACACAGTATACCCTTTAGTTCATACATCTTTTCCTGTAAGTTTTCCAGACCTTTGGCTTCTACTACACTATGGATAATATATCCTCACTGGGACTCCTCTTGGATATCCTATTGAAGCTTGTGTCATGGAGATCCTGCAGATTTGGGTCTGCAGATCCAGGCCCTCATTGCTCCAGCAGTTCCTAGATAAAGAGGATGTTAGGGTGGGATAAGTCATAGCCTGGTTCTGGGCCTGTATTGTAGCTGAGTTAGTGAACCTGCCAGGGTTCCCTCATCTTCACCACCCAGGCAAACTTTCCAGCACTGCCTCAGTTAGGTCTCCCAATAGAGCAAACAGAATGCAGAGAGGCCAGGTATCCTGCTCTCACGCCCTCCCATCGAGCTCTCACACACTCAGACCACAAAGGGCCAGCTCTACTGTTGAGCCCAGGTGAGGTCCCAGGCCCACTCTCCCAGTTGCTGCAGTTGGTGAGAGGCAGACCCAGGTTTTTGTTCTCATGCCCCAGAGGCCATCTCTCCCACCACTGCAGGTGACATGTACTCAGGTGAGGCAGACGTCTTTCCCTCATCTTTGCCAACACAAGGGAGAAGAAGGGGGTAAACTCAGCTCTTCTGCTCTCACAGGCTCAGGGCCAGCTCCCCTGCACTGCTGCTAACAGGGTCAGCTCTACTGTGCTGCTCAGTCCAGGTGCAGGACCCAGCATCCCCATTATTATAGTTGGGGAGAGGCAGGTCCAGTTCGCCCTAGTGCTGCAGCCTGTGAAGGGTGGGCTTAATCTGTGCATCCATATCCTGTCTTCAGTGCTAACAGGAGCTGCTGACATCAACATGGACAGAGGCACTGGCAGGGCAGTGGATGCAGACATGGCCTTTGGCAGCAGCCCAGACCCAGAGGACACTTATGGCTGCTGGTGACAGCATAGGACACTCAGATCTGTGTGACCCCAGCAGAAGTGTAGCCCTCAGAGACTCACATGGCGGTGGCTGAGATCTCTACTTCTGTGTGTCTCTTGATTGGAAACATAAGCCATGGATATCAGCACAGACTCTGGCTGCATTTGTAACATGGACCCAGATATGGTCCTAAGCTACATCCTGGGCAGGGATGTCACCATGGCCATGGTTGTCAATGCAGGTCACTCAGATCAGCATGGACCCAGCAGCAGACCCCAGGTGGGCCTAGGTGATGGTCCACATTCCAGGCTTCTGCACTGTCTTTGATGGCAGCACGAGCCTGGGACATAAATGCTCAGACCCTGGCTTCAGGAGAGCCATGGAGTGAGACTTGGTTCTCAGCAACAGTCCTGGCCCAGATGCCTTTATGGTCCTGGGTGGCAGCACAGCACTCCAAGACACGCATGCCCCCTGTGGGAGTATGTTCTTGTGACAGTAGCATAGTGGCCTAGACTGAAGGTAGTTACAGAGCCCTCAGTGGTAACTGAAGTCACAGATATCAGCATTGCTGCCCACAGCTGTATCAGAGCCATGGCCTTTGGCAGCAGCCCAGGCAGGGACAGCACCATGGCTCAGGTAGCAAGTAGGACACAAAGTTTTTGCACACGACCTTGGTAGATGTTTGTGTATCCTGAGAGGCATTAAAACAATACTGTGGTGTTTCTCATCAATTTGTTCCACATGTTCATTTCATGAAACAGAATACTATAGTTTAGTGATAGCTAAATATATGACAATAAGGATGCAGTGTGTGTGTATATATATATGTATATGTGTGTGTATATATATATATATATATCCATCATGAAATGGGTATACACGAAGTTGGCAACACCATCTACATACAAACACAGTCCACCTGTTTAGCCCTGGCTTTCTGGGAACTAACTATATAGCCTAAGCTGGGCACCCAAGAGTTCTGGGGTCACAGGACATTCTGGGGCTACAGGAATGAAACACTACACATAACCAAAGAAATTGTTCTTTAGAATAAAAAAAATTGGAAATCTGTCTGTCTGGAATAACTGGACATCAACGCAATCTTCCATGACAGGAGAATCTCCCACCACATAGGGAGAGCTGAGGACTCAGTCAGTTTGCCAAGGCCAATGACATTAAACTGTCAGAAAAAAGTCCTGCTCACCAACATCTCTACCCTTGATGTTATTATTCCCCTCATGGGGGCCACTAGATGTTGAGCGTCAAGGTTCTCGGTAATTCTTGTCTCAGAATTTCTGTATCTCAAGCTCATTTTTGATTCTTTCTTTTCTGCAGGAGTACTGAGTCAACAGACCCATGGATCTGATTGGGGCGAGATCACCTGGAAGGGAGTTGGCATTTGCCTCACTGGTGAGTTCACAGCTGGAAAGGAGTGTCTTCTGAGGAGGAGGCCGTGATCCTAGGGTGGAGCATGTCATGTGGTCATGTGTGGCTTCTTTGGCCTCCTCAGTTTTCCCTCAAGAGCAGCTGTCAGAAAAGGAAAGGCAAGCAGACCCAGAGCAGCCTGGCTGGACCACAGGCTAGACAAAATCAGGGCCTAGAGCAGTACTGACCAAAGAAATTGCTCTGAAGAGCGAAGAGTGGGAAATAACTTTTTTATTAATAAAAATATATTTATTTTACTCAATAGTTCTTTTAAGGAAACACAATGTAAACACTAAATAACCTAACAAAATACCAAAACAACAGGAACAAAAGGAAGATAAAATGAATTCAAAACATTAAACCATAGCAAAGAAAACAAGAAAACCCAGAACAAACAAAACCCACCAAAAAAACCAAACATAAAAATTAAGCTTAGCAGCTTGCTTAATTAAACTATTAGCTTAGTCTTGCTTCAGATTTTGTAGTGCAGTCCTACAGCCTGGGGCTGGCCTTGGAAACATGGTAGGAAGGCAGGTACCAATTGTGCAAGGCCTTTTCAAAGATAGTATAGCCATGCCTTCTTAGGCCTTGCAGGGTGTCCTCTGAGGAGGAGGCCTTGATGCTAGGGTGGAGAATGCCATGGGTACAAACTGTCTTCTTTGGCCTCCTCCTTTCTCTCAAGAGCAGCTGTGTGAGAAGGAAAGACAGTCAGTCCCAGAAGCAGCCTGGCAGACCACAGGCTAGACAAAATCAGGGCCTATTCACAGAGAGGAACCAAAGTCACTTAGCCTCCCACCCCCCTATAAATGCCATTGCATGGGCTGGGAAGCAAAGGTGGCTCACTTGCCTGTGAGACTTAGTGCTCCTGCTGCTGCAGCTCTGTCTGCAGGAAGCTATCGTCCTGGGTTGTGACCTGTTCCAGCTCTGACTGGAGATTTTCTGAGCTGGAAGAGGAAGGCAGTTAGGGATCAGGCCTGGCGGGCACCTGCTAAGACAGCTACTGAGCCTGAAGCAGCTCTATTCAGCGGGACTTTTGAATGAAGCAGGACAATCCATCATTACTTTACAGCTGAGCTGAGGTTGTTCCCTGCATTCCCCAGGGGAGAAGGGTCAGAGTGCACCTGGGCCTGGAATTTTTTCCTTAGTTTTAAAATCTGCTAGAAGATGAGCCGAGAACTTCACTGTGCTAGACAAGAAAACACAGCACATTTCTCGTGTTGCCTAGATACATTATTTTAGATAAATATTAGTGTAGCAATGCCTGAGTAACAGCTCAGGACAGATCTGCATGGCCTTGATTAGATACCGGGTGAATGGTATCAACCTGGGAAACGGAATGTGGACCCTCCAGGGGAGCCTACACAACACTACAGTTTAAGCTCTGATTATTCCCACAGCGCAGAAACCTTCCTACACTCAGCTCCTCAACTCCTAAATCTTCTCTTATAACCCCAGAAATCTTTTCACAGGAAACCAATGCATACTGCAGAGAGCCTGTAACCAGCAGGAGTGTGCTGCGTGCAGATCTGCCCAAAGGCAGGAGCTTCTCTCTAAAGGTGATGTTCTGGAAGGAAAATAGAGTAGCAGGGGCACACAATGTCCTCCACTACTAACCCCCTCCTTCTAGGTTTAGGACTACCATAGGGAGATTTTGGGGGAGACACAGGGGACAAGGTACTGAGAAGATACCAGAGAGCTCAGAAGGGAATAAGGGCACACAATTCTCAGAAACACTAAGGATCAAATATGGTGTTTCCTAGAGAAGTTCTTGATTGGGCTAGCACAATACCCTGAGGTGATCTTTCCCTGACTGCGGCTGAGAGACATCCAGCTTGCAAGAGTCCCCAAAAAGACAGAATCCAGGTACGGGTGAGCGACCTGGTTCTAAGTGCTCCTCCCGCTGGGCACCTACCTCATCTCGGGGACACTGAGATGATGCTGCAGCTTTTCTGCCAGGTCCCTGTGCTGGGTGACCAGCTCCTTTTGTTTCAGGACATTCTTCAGTCCTTCATCCAGGCTTTCTTGCTCCTGTTCATTAGAAGATTGTGTTCTCACTGGAGGGTTGCCCACTCCCATGTACACAATACACTCATGAATATGCATGAATGTGAATGTATACATACAAACACAGTGCAATACAATAACATGTGTAGTTGCCCAGTTAACGCTAATATAAAGAGCAATCCCTAGGGATATTGTTGAGGAAGTTAACTTTTGTCTGAAGAAGGAAGAACACAGTGCGATTTCTTTGAGTAACAAATGGCTGATTAAGTCAGCGTCAAGTGATTTCATGTATTATCTCATGCTGAAAAATATTCCACAGAAGGGCTCAAGCACACTGTACTTTTTCACTCTTTGAATGATGGACATCTGGGTAGTTTCTACTTCGAGGCTCCTCTAAGGATTGCTGCTAAGACCCTGATGTCACCTCGCTTCTCTGGACACCTACTTCGTGTTCTGGGTCGCCTGGGGATGGCAGTTCGACTTTCTGAAGACTTGTGTGTGGCTTCTCACTGCACTACACAATTTTATAGCACCAGCAATGTCTGAGGGTCCTCGTTTCTCCAGTCCTCCATGCGGCTGGTTCTAACTCAGAGTGAACAACTCTGAATCAGAGCAGTTACCGAGTGCTGCAGACACAGCACATGGTGAGTGCTTTAGACCATCCGGAGCCTAAGGGGTGCCCTGAGACAGCCCCATTCTGACGTCACAGCATGGCTGTGGACTCTGCTGGGCTGAGATGTGCTGGAAGCACACTGCACGTCAGAATCTCCCACAGAATAAAATCCAGGCCAAGCTCCAAGAACAAGGTTAACCGAGCCAAGGTTGGACAAAGGTGGAAAAAATGGTAACAGAAAATATGTATAACAACAAAAAGGGACAGAGAAGACATAGTGAGCCACCTGACCATTAAGGGTGCAGTCGCCACTCACCCAGAGCAGAGAAGGGACACAAACCCTCATCCAGCCAATCCTGCCTCTCAGACACCTTGATTTGCCACAGTGGCCTCCTCCTAAACTTCATGTACCACACATTTCTATGGTTTGCTCCAAGGATTTCCTTGCAGATAAATATTTTTGCCTCTGCTAATACCTAACAACCACTGAGTCACAGCAGTTTTCTGTTGGGTTGTTCTAGACAGCTAGGTGGACATGAAACCTGGACAGAAAATTTGCGGTGCAGTGAATGCCTGGGCTCAAGAGAATAAGGGAGTGAACAGCAGAGGACAGCACTGGATTTCACTATGCAGCCTGCAGACAGACTCCCCATGGCACCCATTTACACAAGCCTACATAGATACACACAGACCACAGGAATCAGAAGTGAGCAGAAAAAATGAAGAGGACATCACGGTGAATGAACAGCTGAATTTAGAGTATGCTCATCGGGTGTTTCAACTGAGAGCCACAACACTGCTGTCCATTCCTTGGGGACTACAAATGCCTAGGGGAGCACACAGCTTCATCAGCCTGTGTTGAAGTGATTGGAGAAAATGTTATTTTGAATCCTCAAATCACCCCAACCCTAAGCCTGCCAAAGTCATCCCACGTCAATGGTCATTCGGTCAGCACCAGACTGGAAGACCAGGATGGGAGAAATGTCAAGCACCACCCACAGAAAACAGGACTGAAAGCGCTACTCGGACTTCTGTTGTTGTTAACCAAGAGCTTGAGAAAAGGAAGAGAACACATTGGGGTGCAGGAAGAAAGGAGAAGACCACACAAAGCTCAAAAAGTTGACAATGAGAACCACTCACTTGGCTCGAGTCCTTGCAAGCTGCTTCCTGCCTGTGATTTCACATAACCCTTGAACAGCAAAAGAGCCAAGTGTGCTGACCTCATCGAGGAAAGCTCTGTGCTGTTCCCTAAGTAGTTCCCTGCACAGCAGCCCTCCAAACATAACGGCATGGAGGTGTGATATGTGACTGACGCATCTCTCTGAGTGTTCTGTGGCTTCTAACAAAACAGGAGGTTTTGCTGGCCAAACATCTGGTTTCTTGTAAGAGGATAGCTCTACAGAGAACCTTGTGAATGAAGACAGAAAGCACAACTGGATGGCATGTAGGTGGAGTCTGGATGGGTAGATGGATGGTTACATGGGTGTCTGTACGTTTATGTTTGGACAGGTGGGCAGCCTGCCCCCACTGCCACAGCCTACCTGCTGCTGCTCAGCACAGGGGCCACAGATCTTCTCAAGCACCTCCTTCAAGAGCCTCTTCACCTCCTCACAGGTCTCTTGCAGTTCACTCTTCTCCTTCCGCAGCAATCTGTTCTTCAGTCTCAACACATGTACTATTTTCTTCAGCTGAGTCCGATCTTGTAGGACCTGGCCATGGCGGTAACTGGACCAACACCAAAAAAAATGGTGAGCTTCAACCAGTCTCCATATGCCATGCCTATGTCCATGTGCCACCCACACTGAAAAGTTGAAAACACAGCCCAAGACTGGAGCTCTCAGGAGCCAAGGCAGCATCACTCAGAGGCAGGCCAGCTCCAGAGAATAACCAAATTCCAGGAAGATTCAAACTACGTCGGAAAACCCTGCTACCAAAAGGTATCCTGTGCCTCTGAGAAGACAACAGAGTGAAGCCCCACCTATACTTAACTGCTCATGGTATAAGAAAGCATCAGCGGGTAGAGGGCTAACACCCTCTGAAGGAGGGAAGAATTCCCAAAGGGAATAAATTCTGTCTGTGGATCCCATGGAAACCAGCTCGGTGAAGTGTCTTCCAGAGCTCCTTAGCATTTTTTCTAAGGACTCCTGAGTCTGGCAGGACAATGATGGGAGGGCCTCAGTGTATGTTTGCCCTTAGCAAAACTGAGTCTAAGAGACACAAAGCTGATGGCCACAGGCTAGGCTGCTTGCTAAGAGCAGACAGTTTGGAACCAGAGCCTTCACTTTGGGTCAAGACAAGTGAGGACAGAAACAGTCCCTCTCAAGCTAAATCAGGCACTTACCCGACCGATTCGGTCTCCTCCATCAGC